TAGATCAAATAAAGACAATGAAAATAATTTAAATAAGGAAGCTCCTAATTATAGAAAACTCAAAATGTAGCTGCTTGATTTTTGTCCTTCCTGATTGACACCCCCCCCCTCAAATTGATGCTGACTGATTAGGAAACATCAATTTGCTAACAAGAAACCGATAACATTGCCGGAACCCAAAAATCCTCAAGCCATGAGTGCCGAAGCCGAAGGTGTTGAAGCCTTAGACAATCCTGAACCATAACATGACTTGAGCAAAGAAAAACAAGAAATCCTTTATCATTGTCATCCAGAAATTTAAATCATAGCCACAAGAAGGATCTGCTTCCAGTTACACGATCCGATCCGAATCCGAATGCTACCGATCATAGCCTACAAATAGGATCCAGTTACACGATCCGGATGCTATCAATCATAGCCTACAAGTAAGATCCGTATCCTGATCCAAATGCTACCGATCATAGCCCACAAATAGGTTCCAGTTACACGACCCAGATGCCATTGATCATAGCTTACAAGTAGGATCCGCGTCCTGATTCAAATGCTACTGATCATAACCCACAAGTAGGATTCGCGTCCTGTTATACGATCCAAATAGGTTGAATACTGATTAGGTTGAATACTGAATAGGCTCAATACCTTTTCCTTTTGCTTTCATTCCATTAAATAATAATCTTACAATCTATTTTAGGTACAAAATAAAGTGCATAATCTATTAAGTAACTTAATAATGCATATTCCTAATCTAAATATCCAACTAAAAGGGAAATAGATCAGAATAAAGACAATGGAAATAATTTATAGAAAACTCCTAATGTAGTTGCCTGATTTCCGTCCTTCCCGATTGACAAATATTATTTGTCATAATCTCAATAATTGAAAATTCTACCAATAGTAAAAAGCTGGTTTCTGAGTATTGCAAAATTAATTTCATAACAGAAATCCCGAACTTGAAGTCTTTGAGTTCTGCCTTCTAGAACTGTTACAGAGTTGTCATGTGTGTTGGCGATGAACCCTTGCCTTGGGTTCTAGAGAAAATGCATTCATGGTAATACTTAAATAAAAGCAAATAGTTCTGCTAAATGTCAAGAACCTGTGTAGCCCACCCCAATCTCATGGTTGACCGCTTTTGCTCCCAATGCGGATGTCACAAGTTTGAGGTTGGCTTTTACGGTGTGGTGTTGATGGGATATTGACAATATGAGATGATTAGTTTTGTATTTAGGTAAATAAATAGTTAATTAGTTAGAAATTAGTGTTAGTGAATTAATAGTTATTGTATTCTATCAAAAGTCTTAATCAGAGATATTGAAATGTGATAGGAATAAACGAGCAATTCCAAACTTTACCGAGACTTAGAGTCAATTAGAAATTAAACAATACCGCAGAATAACGGGATCACACGAGATTCAAAAAAATCGGAACAAAGTCTAAATGGAAACACAATCAAAGCAACCATAAAAGTACACGAGAATTTATGTGAAAAAATAGGAGAATAGGAGAAAACCACGGAGCCACGCCATAAAAAATTTCACTATGAAATTTAGAAAGATTTACAAAGAACTCACACCAATTTCCTCTGTACACACGAGAAAACTTACAGGATACGCTTCACAATCTTCTAAAATCCGACGCAAAAATTCCAGTATTGTTTTGTTCATACGCTCAACCATATTATTTTGTTGCGGTGTCCTTGGGACAGTGAACTCATGCTAACCCCTTCTGTAGTATAGAAATTCTTGAACTTTTGATTACGATGCTCGCCCTCATTATCTGTGATCTGAGACACTTTAGCTTCAAGTTTGTCTCATTTTCTACCATAGCCTTTTACTTCTTAAAAACTTCAAATACATCAGATTTTTGCTTTAAGGAATAAACTCGTACTTTTCTTGTGTGATCATTAATGAAGTTGACAAAAGCGAGAACCTCCAAGGGACTGAACTGGAGTAGGACCCCATGTACCAATATGCACTAACTCCAGTTTCTTTGATTTCACGATTGACCCACTCTTAAAGAAAGAAATTTTCTTCTGCTTGTCATATATACAGTCTTCACAGAAATGCAAATCAACTAATTTCAAGCTCTGAAACTTATTTTTAGAAAGTAGGGACTTCATCCCTTTTCACTCATATGGCCAAGCCTACGGTGTCATTGACCTGCATTCACCCTGTTTCTTGCCATATCAATGAAATCAATCATTTCGTTGATCAGATAAAGTGTGTCTTTAATGTTTTCCCGAGTCATTACTTATACCCCCTTAACCATCTTTCACGAATCACCTGTGAAAGTAGTCACGAGTCCCGACTTCGTCAGCTGGCTCACTGAGACGAAATTTCTCTTCAAACTTGGAACATGTCATACTTCGTTAAGCTTTCAGACCGGTCCATTTGATAACCTGATATCAACATCTCTCTTTCCTACTATACTGCGGACCTTGTTATTTCCAAGATAATCCTTCCCTAAATTACTCTGAGTGTAGTTTTAAAATTCCTCTTTTTTGGGGTAAGCAGAAAAGGAGGCACTTGAATCCACTATCCAAAGTTCAATGCTGACTAGAAAAGACACCTGAGAGTCATTTTGGATTTCACCAGTGGAGACATTAGTAGATAAACTATTTTCTTGTTCTACACCACCAGCTTTCCTTAGAGCTTTTCAGTCCTTCTCGAAATGCCTCTTCTTAACACGGTTCCAACATTTTCCTTTGCTTGACTTAGACTTTTCTTTCTTGGACTTGGGATCTACCTCTATCTATATTTCTGCCTAAATTCCTCCCTCTGTTATCATCATTCAACGTAGAACTTGTAGATTCACCATTCGTTTCTTTTCTGCAAACTTCTTCATTCAGCATCAGACCCACGATATCACAAAGTTCAACTTCGTAGTCCCAGAAGAATTACTTACCGCCGTTTTCAAACCATCATAGCTGTCCGACAATGAAGATGGTATCACCAGTGCTTTAATCTCATCACCAAACTTGATTCTCACATAACACAACTAACTCGTCGCAATGTTGAAGTTATTGAGATGCTCTGTCACCGAACTGCCTTCCATCGTCTTCATGTTAAATAATTTATTCATCAAAAAAACCTTAATGGAAGTAGAGTGTTTTTCGTACATTTTGGTTAGTGTTGCCATGAGATCCATCGTAATTTTCTCATTAACAATGTTAAATGCAATAGATGAGAAAAGTGATAATCTAATTAAACCTAGTGTTGTTCGATCCAACTCTTCCCATTCTTTTATAGGCATAAACTCCGACTTTCTTTTGATTTTTTGTAGCGGCAAATATAATTTTTTTCTGATATAACAAATCCTTCATCTGCATCTTCCAGAATGCGAAGTTCGTCACATTGAACTCCTCCACTTTGAACCTTGTTTCATCGGTCATAGCTCCCACTCGAATTAAACCCCGCTTTTATACTAGTTTGATAAGACTAAACAAGCAATTTTCAACTTTACTGGGGCTTAGAATTAATTAGAAACTAAACCGCACCGTGAAATTACGAGATCGAACAAGATTCGAGAAAACCGAAAAGAATCTAAATGGAAGCACAATTAAAGCAACCAGAAAAACACACGAGAATTTACATGAAAAAATCAGAGAACGAGAAAAAATCACTGATTCACACCACAAAAAATTCTATTATGGAATTCAAAAAGTTTTTCAAAGCACTCACATCAGTTTCCTCTCACACACGAGGAAACTTACAGGCCACAATCTTCGTTCTTTAATCCGACGCAAAAATCACACTGAATTACTGAAATCCATCTTTTCAACACTTCTCACATTCACCGGGATGCTTGTCAAAAAACACTAGAGGAAATCTTGCACTAGAGATAAGTTACATTGTTTAAAATTTTGGCCTTAAACTAAACTTCGCACGTCAACTGTTCCTGGTGCATAGGCGCTCGGACTTGGCGCCTATACGCCATAGTCTCTATATTGACACCCAACATTGGGCGCTTATGCGCCAAATGGGACGCATAAGCGCCACACCTACTATCATGCCCACATTGAATGAGCTCATACTCATTATGGCTGACGCCTATGCTTCGACACCACTGTGTTTGGACGCATATGCGCCCTTTGGCTGGCGCATATTCACCAGCTTCTCTGTCCTTCGGCTCTAAAATATGTTGGCACATATGCGCCAACAACCCGACGAATAACAAAATAATGGGAAAAATGTTATTGTAAGTTTTTCTCTTTGCTGTGTTTCTTCTCCCTCTCGTCCCAATTTTGGGAGTTATCGGCATCCTTGATTTGTCGTTTATCCCTCTTTAATATGAGTTTCTCTCTTTGATTCTCCCCCACCTAACCTCTAGAGTTGTTGGCATCCTCAAATTACCGATTACCGAGATTCAAGAAATTGGATCATATTAGGTGTCTAAATGAGTTTCCTATTAAATTTACTCAAAATCTTTAAAAAATTTCATGAATCTGCCTTATCAGATGTTTATTTATGGCGGCCAACATCCGATGAATAGTTATTCTTTTTGTAAATTACTTAGATTAATAGAGCTATTGAATCATCTACCATAGTTTGCCTTAGAAACTACCGTGACATTCAGAGTGGGTTATAATTTCAAATATATGGAAATTTACATATGTCGTACACAATTCTTATGCATTTACATATCTCTCACCTAAACTTTCATATTTACATAATAACACTTTAGACCTATGCATGAAAATGCGTATTTCACTTTAGAAAGTGGTAATAGTGCCGTTTTTTATGTGATATTAAAGATTTTGGTGCTATGTTTAAATGTGAAAGTTTAGGTATGAGATATGTAAATACATAAGAAATGTGTGCTATGTATGTCAATATGAAAGTTCTTCCAATGCTACTGCCCATAACGTCTTGAGATGGTAAATATGTTTAGAGGCACATAATATAATAAAACTTGGTATTATTATGCTTTATTTCTATTTTTTGGACATCAATTCAGCACAGAGTTTGATTAGCATGATTCATGCAAGTTACACCTTGTTACAGGATTACTGAAAGAGCTATTGCATTCCTTCCCTTCATTAGCCATGACAACAAGTTCTTCCAATGCTACTGCTCTGGACACTGCTGCAACACAAGGTCATGTTGAAATAGTCAATCTTCTTTTAGAAACAGATGTAAGTCTAGTTAAGATTGCGAGGAACAATGGAAAAACTGCTCTACATTCAGCAGCCAGAATGGGCCATGTTGAAGTGGTGAGGTCCCTTTTAACTAAGGATCCCGACATTGGATCGAGGACCGATAAGAAGGGACAAACCGCATTACACATGGCCGTAAAAGGAAGTAATGTAATGATTGTCCTCGAACTTTTGAAACCCAATTCTTCGATCATCAACGCAAAAGATAATAAAGGCAACACTCCATTGCATATTGCAACAGGGAAAAGTCGTCGTGAGGTTAGTTTTATCATGTCAACAATTTGCACACTTGTTTGTAGAAAGCAATCATTTTCAGGAAGCAAAAGTTGTCCTAAGGTTTGTTTTCTATTTCGACAAGGCACACTTTGTTTGTAGAAAGCAACGATTTTCGGGATGCATATCCATAATGCTGGTCACTATATTCAGCTAAATTGAGTGATACCTAGCTCTTTGGAAGGGGTCATTTAAGTCTCAAAGTTTATAAATGTTTAATTTAGTCTCCAATTTTTTTTAATATGAGCTAAAATAATCTCCACAAAGGACTTTCAACCTCATTTTAAAACATAGGAGACTAATTTGACACTTTTTATGAACTTTGAGACTAAAATGACACCCTATAAACACACGGATGACTATTTTGACACTTACAACTATTTTCTTTATTTATCTTAAGCTACATGTCTTTCAATATATTTTGATAAAACTTGCAATTTTGATTTTGATACTAAAGGTTTTTAATGTCATTTTGAATTATCAATAAAGCCGAACTTATGAAAATAGTTACTTGGCGTGCACGGTCAATTTTAATGCTGTTGAGTAGCTAAGACTTTTGAAGAGATTCTTAAATTGAGATGCCAAGTTCTATATCTAGTGATGATATTTATCTGATAAGCTTTCAGCTTGTCTTTCTAACCAGAGCTTTTTTAAAAATAGCGTTTAATTAAGTTTGGGATTCAGGTTACTCCTCTGAACTTCCTTGTTATGAAAAAGTTGACGACGAAAATAAAACGAAAAATAGATCGAGAAAAATCACACCAGAAAAGACGACACAAGATTTACGTGGTTCGGCAAATTGCCTACGTCCACAGAGCTGCAGAGGATTTTATTAGCTTTGAGGATTACACCATCGACCACGTCGACTTACAAGAAAGAATTATCTCTCTCTCTCTCTCACCTAAACCAAGAGTCACACAAAGAAGAAGAAAAATAACTTTAAACTGTTTGGAGAGTAATACACATCCCTGTAATCGTGAGCCCCTTTTAAAGCTTCACAATATCCAGCTTGTTTTGGTAATCATTAATTTCGAGATTTTATAGAATCATGTTTTAATGACCTATATAAAGCCCATTAAGGCAAGCTATCAAATTCATTGCCTTTTTCTCTATAACAGGAGGGACGAGAAATTAATTCTGGCAAAATTTAATTAATTAAGTTTTATTTAATTCTTCCTGTCAATAGAAGGCAACTGCTTTAAAGGCAAATTGAGAATCATCAAGCTATGACAGGGAATAAAATACATAAGAAAAAAAATTAAGAGCAGATAAATTAGAATCAATTTATCAAAGAATCTGCCGTAATAGGAAGTGGACCGGGTCTCCACCTTCCTCAACAATTCTCCCACTTGGAGACTGAGACACTAACTGCACCATCCATTGGCTGCACTATCCTTTTCTTCAAACGTGATATCCTCCACCTCTGCAACTCAAAACCTCGGTCTTCAAGCTAGAAGACCAACTGAAGTCGAGCACAACTTCAGTTTCTCAAGTGTAACGCCCTTAGTCAACATATCAGCAGGATTCTTGCTTCCACAAATTTTCTTAAGTAGTAACTGTCCGTCATCTAACAATAATCGAATAAAATGATACCTGATCTGAATGTGCTTTGTTCTGGATTGAAATGCTGGATTTATAGCTAGGAATATAGCGCTCTGGCTATCACTGTAGAGAGTGCCTTTTTGAACCTCCTTACCCAATTCCACCAAGAAACTCTGCAACCATATCATCTCCTTAGCAGCCTCTGACACTGCAACATACTCAGCCTTTGTAGTGGACAAAGAAACTGTCTTTTGTAGATTAGAGCCCCATGACATTGCAGTACCGCCAAGAGTATAAGCATAACCTGTAGTACTCTTCATACTGTCAATGTCTCCAGTTAAATCTGCATCAACATAACCCTGTACCTCTAGGCTCTTTCTTGAGAAACACAAACAGGTTTCTGAAGAGCCTTTTAAATATCTCAAAATCCACTTCACAGCTTCCCACTGTTTCTTCCCTGAATTACTCATGTATCTGCTCACAACTCCCACTGCATGGGCAATATCCGGTCTGGTACAGACCATAACATACATAAGTGAACCAATAGCTGAAGCGTAAGGAACCTTACTCATGTGATCTTGTTCCTCATATGTCTTGGGTGATTGATTTTTGCTAAGTCCGAAGTGACTGCCTAAAGGCGTGCCAATTGGCTTGGCCTTGTTCATATTGAACCTACTAAGCACCTTTTTCACATATTCAGCTTGTGAAAGTCTCAAAGTGCCTTTGACTCGGTCTCTAATAATCCTTATGCCAAAGATTTGTTTTGTTGCTCCCAAATCCTTCATTGCAAAGTGATCTGACATCTGCTTCTTCAGATTATTGATCTCATAAATGCTGACCCCTGCAATAAACATATCATCCACATACAACAACAGGATGATATAGGAATGGTCAAAGTACCTGACATAGCAACAGTGATCTGCCTG